CATCTCTTTTCCTCGGGAAGAAGGAGGATGTTCCTTCCTTTCCCTTTCCCTCAGTTCAGAGGGGGAGGATGTCCCTTCCCTCCCCTTCCCCGCAGAAGGAGGAGGAGGAGGAGGAGGAGGAGGAGGGGATGGGTTCCTTCCCTTCCCTTCCCTCAAGGAGGACGAGGAAGAGGCCCCCTTCCTGCCCCTTTTGATCAGAAGGAGGAGGAAGAGGAGGAGGAGGAGGCTCATTCCCTTCATTTCCCTCCGAAGGAAGATGAGGATAAGGCCCCTTCCCCCCCCCATCCCTCAGGAAGAGAAACGGGAAGAGAAGGGGGGGGGACCCTCCCCTTTCCGTTTCCCTCGGGAAGGAAAAGGAGAAAGTTCCCTTCCCCCCTGTCCCTCATGAAGGAAGAAGAAGATGAGGAAGTTCATTCCCTTTCCGTTTCCTTCAGAAGGAGGAGGAGGGGGAGGATCATTCCCTTCCTTTTCCCTCAGAAGAGGAGGAAAGTCCTTCCCTACCCTTCCATCAGGAGGAGAAGGAGGAGGTGCCTTCCCTTCCGTTTTTCCTCAGGACGGAGAAGGAGGTCCCTCCCTTTCCCTTTATCTCAAGGAAGAAGAAGAGGAGGTTATTTCCTTTCCTGTTTCCCTCAGGAAGCAGGAAGATGATGGCGTAAGTTCGTCCCTTCCCTTTCCCTCAGAAGGATGAGGAATAGGTTCCGCCGCTTCCCGTTTCCACAAAAAGGAGGAGGAGGTTCCACCCGTTCCCTGCCCGTCAGAAGGAGAAGGAGGAGGTACCTTCCCTTCCCTTTCCCTCAAGAAGGGGAGGAGCGTGTCCGTTCCTTTCCCAAGCCCTCAGGGCAGAGGAGGAGGCGGTTCCTTCCCTTCCCTCTCCCTCAGAAGGAGGAGGAGGGCGAGGAAGTTCGTTCCCTTCCCGTTCCCTCAGGGTGGACGAGGAAGAGGTTCCCTTCCTGTCCCTTTCCATCAGAAGGAGGAGGAAGAGGAGGAGGAGGCTCATTCCCTTCGTTCCCTTCAGGAAGGAGGACGAGAACGAGGCTCCTCCCCTTCCCTTTCCCTCAGGCGGAGGGGAAGGAGAAGGAGGAGGATCTGTCCCTTTCCCTTTGCGCGAGGAAGGAAGAGGAGGAGGTTTCATTCCCTTCCCTGGTCCTCAGGAAAGAGGAGGAGGATGAGGAGGCTCATTCCCTTCCCTTCCCTTCCCCGCAGAAGGAGGAGGAGGAGAAGGAGTCTCATTCCCTTCCCTTTCCCTCAGGAAGGAGGAGGCGGAAACTCCTTCCCTTCCCTTCCCTCAGGAAGGAGAAAGAAATTCCTTCCCTTCCCTTTCCCTCAGGACGGAAAGGCAGGAGGTACCTTCCTTTTCCCTTCTCTCATGAGGGAGAAGGAGGCGGTGAATTCCCTTCCCTTTCCCTCAAGGTGCAGGAGAAGGATGATGAGGTGTCTTCCCTTCGCTTACCCTCAGAAAAGTGAGGAAGAGGTTCCGTCCCTTCCCGTCCCTCAGTAAAGAGGAGGATGATATTCCTTCCTTTCCCTTCTCATCAGAAGGATGGCGGGCAAGCCACTCCGAAGCCCAAACCATTGAAAATCACAACGTGTTGCAGCCCTGGATGCTAAACACAGTGTGTTTTACAATGTTTTGACACCCCCTGATGCCAAATCCATAGTAACTTACAGCGTTTTGGAGCCCTCGGTGATAACTAACAAACGCTGTGGTTTACCATGTTTCCTCAAACTCTGAAGCCCAAAACACTGACAATCACAACGATCTGCAGCCCTGGATGCTAAACACATTGTGGCTTATAATGTTTTGACAACCTCCGAAGCCCAACACATTGAACATCACAACATTTTGCAGTCCTGGATGCTAAACACATTGTGTGTTACAATGTGTTGACAATCTCAGAAGCCCAAACCATTGAACATTATATCGTTCTGGAACCCTCGATGTGAAAAAAAACGCTGTTTTACAATGTGCTCTCAAACTCCGAAGCCCAAACCATTGTAAAACACAGCGTTTTGCAGCTCCGGATGCTTAACACAAAATGTGCTTACAATGTTTTGACAGACTCCGAAGCCCAAACCATTGAACATTACAACGTTTCGGAGCCCTGGATGCAACAATCAATATGTTTTCCAATATTTTCTTTACCTCTGGAGCCAAAAGCATGTTAAATTACAGCGGGCTCGATTCCGCTCATCCTCCTCTCTCCTCCCCCCCTCCCTCCATCCCTCCCCTTGCTGGAGGCCTGCGGAGGGGACAATGGGGAGGCACGCAGGGGGAGGGAGGGACGAATGGGAAGATGAGGAGGGGCGGTGCGTCCTCCGTCCACCCCTCCTCCCTCCTCCTGCTGGAGGCCTGGGGGGAAGCGGAGGAGGGATTCAGGGAGGGAGGGGAAATGGGAGAATGAGGACGGATGGCGCGTCCTCGATCCTTCCACTCCTCTTCTGGAGGAAGCCTGGGGAGGGTCCCAAGGGGGGGAAAAAAAAACGGACCCCCAGAAACTACCCCCTCCATTTTTTTGTTGTTTCATTGTTTCTCTGCCCGAACAAAAAAAACGGAGTCCCAAAAAAACGGAGCCCTGGGGACCACCCCCCCGAGGACCTGGCGGGGGGGTCCCAGGGGTAAAAACGACGACCACCACCACCACAACCACGACAACTACGAAGACGACGACGACCACCACCACCACCACCACCACGACTACGACTACGACTACGACGATGACGACGACGACGAGACCTCCAGAAACCTTTAAACGCATGGCTTGAAAAGACTTTGAAAACGAAGGCCCACGTTAGACCCCCGAAACCCTACGAGGCCCCCTGATAAGTAGGTCAGGAGAGAATGAAGGAGAAGAAAATGACACAAAGAAAATGAGAAGGACTTAGGACGACGGGTCCTCGACCATTCTACTCCGCGGAGGCCCTCAGAGGCCCCGGGTCCAACACGTTTGAACACCTCTGCCAACAACGTCGTCGTCGCCATCGCCGTCGCCGTCGCGGTCGACGCCACCGCCGCCGTCTCCGTCGTGTCGTCGTCGCCGCCGCCGTCATCGCCGCCGCCGCCGTCACCACGGCCGTCGTCTGGGAATCAGTGAAAGGCGAAAGGGGCCCTGAGGGAAACGGTTCCCGAATCCAGGAAATTCCCCCGGGACAGATTTTGAGATTGAGCTGATTTGTCTGACAACCCAGAGCCCCAGGGAGGGGTTCAAGGAGGCCGAAACACAAGAATCTCAGAGTCCTGATCCTCGAGGATCCCTGTTTGGCTCATGGTGACCCTCCTGCTCTCACAACAAATCTACATCTAGACCTCGGAAGGGGGCAAGGCTGAGATTCGCAAAGACTTCCGAGGGGGAATCCAACCTTGGCGACAAAAAGACCCCCCGACCCCCCCCAACAAAAAAATACGGAAATTCTTGATTCTCGATCTTACTCGATCCTCCTCCTCCTCCTTCTCCTCCTCCTCCTCCTTCATGCTAAGGAGGGCGGTGAGGTGAGGAGGGCAAGTTCGATCCAGACATCCAGTCACCCGACCAGCAAGAGCGGGTCGGATTGGAACGTGAACCGAATCGGGCCGCATCGGCAAGGGGTCGGAATCAAATCAAATTGGCCGCGCCAAGATGCATGCTCAGCAGCTCCGTGCGCGCATCGGGCCGCATCAACGGAATGCCAAAATCGCACCGGATCGGGCCAGACGAATTCGAGATCGAATCGGACCGATTCGACGAAATTGAGCCTGGATGGCTTATCCCGAATGAGATCTGAAAGGCAAGGTCCTGGGGCCAGTGAGGGCCACTGGAAGCCGAAAACAGGCAGAAACCTTTTGGTCGAGGCTGTGCTGCGACACGAGGTCTGGATCATGCCTCCACCTA